ACCCTTCTCCTCTGCCCCCCACGAGTACCCATGGCGTGATGCTTTTCAGATGTACCCGATACACACACATGTTCGTCCCTGAGGAATGTCTCGTGTTATTGATATACCTAAATGGTATTGTGTTCTAGGCATTATTTTCTCTTTTAGAGCAAAAGCCAGAGGTAAGAGGAGTTTGCCTAGTCCCCTTCCCCGCCCCCACCCTGCTTCTATAACTGAACTGGGATATCTCATCTCATCTTCTCTGGCCCTCGGACTGGGATTTATACCATCAGTTTTCCTGCTTCTCAGGCCTTTGGACTCAGACTGAATTATATCTTTCTGGGTCTCCAGCAGCAGATGCCCAATCATGGGACTTCTCAGGATCCATAATCTCATGAAGCAATTCCTCATTCTCTCTCTCCCTCTCTCTCTTTCTCTCTCAGCCTCTGACAACCACCATTCTACCATCTGCTTGAGTCTATTTTAGATTCCACACTCAAATAATATTTGCCTTTTGCGTTCGGCTTATTTTGCTTAGGGAATGTCTTCCAAGTTCATTCATGTTGTTGTGAATGGCAGGACTTTCACACATGCACACACAAGTCTCACGTTTCCTTCATCCCTTCATCTTCGATAGACGTTTAGCATTTAGGTCTTTCCCACACTTTGGCTACTGTGAACAGTACTGCATCGAATTTGGGAGTGCAGGTATCTCCTTGAGATAATGATTTCGCTTCCTTTGAATATGATTCCAGAAGTGGGATCCCTGCTCATAAGATTGTTCTTTATTTTTTAAAAAGATTTTATTTATTCATTTGAGAGAGAGAGAGAGAGCATGCATGAGGTAGGGGGAGGGAGGGAGAGAGGGAGGAAAAGTCAGACTCCTCCTGAGCAAGGAGCTGGACTCGGGACTCCATCCTAGGACCTGGACATCATGATCTGAGCCAAAGGCAGATGCTTAACCATCTGACCTGCCCAGGAGACCTGTTTTTGTTTTTGTTTTAAGGTTTATTTATTTATTTGAGAGGGAGAGAGAGAAAGAGTGAGTGAGCAGGGGAAGTGACAGAGGAAGAGGGAGAGAGAGAATCTCAAGCAGACTCTACTCTGACCACAGAGCCCTACAACGGGCTCAATCTCACAACCCCGAGATCATGACCTGAGCCAAAACCAAGAGTTGGCCGCTTAAGCCACTGCACCACAGTTGTTCCTCATAAGATAGTTCTATTTTCAACTTTTTAAGGAACCCCCCATACTGTTTTGCACAGTGGCTGCACCAGTTTGCATTCCCACCAGCAGTGCACAGAGCTCTCTCTCCTCCAAATTCTCATCACTACTTCTGACTTCTTGTCTTTTTGATACTAGCCAGTCTCGCAGGTGTGCAGTGTATCTCCTAGTGGTTTTGATTTGCATTTTCCTGATGACTGGTGATGTCGAGCGCCTTTTCACATACCTGTTGGCCATTTTTTGGTTTTATTTTGAGAAACGTCTATGCAGGTCCTTGCCCATTTTTAATTCAAGTTATTTGTTCTTTTTGCTATTTAATTGTAAGAGTTCCTTATATATTTTGGATGTTAATGCCTTATCAGATAAATGGTTTGAGGATATTTTCTCCCATTTCATAGATTTCCCTTTCACTCTGCTTACTGTTTCAATTGCTGTGCTGTTGTTGTGGATTTTTTTTCCCCTCACAGATGTATAATGGAATAAAGGAACATGTAGCACAATCAACTTATGACTTTATAAACTTCAGTTGAACTCTTCTTTGAAAACCAAGGTCATGTTAAATTTATTTTTTTTCTATAGCACTTTTTTTTTCTAACAACACAATACTCCATATACAAATGTCAAATTAAATGAAGATCCTTCAATATTGAAAAAAAATTAGCTATTTTGTCTGACCAGGTTAAGACTGGGGAAAATGTGTGTAACACACACAGTCACGACTTTCAGGTCAACAAACAAAGGTTCACCAAATTCAGTAATACTGAGGGTACACTGGGGCAGTCTTTAACAGGTTGGAATGATTACATGAGGAGGATCAATAGAGAAAAGAACTACTCCACATAGTAGGTAACAAACTTGGCTTTTGTTATCTCTGAGAAAAAATAAAGGGAGCAAACACATAGGAATTTGAAAATAATTTAGAGAATATATATATTTAAAGGAAACCTAAATTCTCACTCAGAAGATTTTTTAAATTACTAATAATTTATATGTACCTATGTGTTTCTCCCTCGTGGTCTCCCCAGTCAGCCCGTCAAGGTAACTAATACCCTGACCTTGGTGTTTCCACGTTCATGTCTTTTAAAAAGTTTATCCTATGCTAGTATAAATGCCTAAACAATATATTCTTGTACTAGTTTTTAAATTTCTATAAAGGGTGTCTTACTATGTGGCATCTTCTGGGACTTGCCTTTCCCCTCAATGTTATATTTCTGATATTTTTTATGTTGCTTCATTTTAGCTATGGTTTAATTTTTTACTGTTGTATAGTATTCTACTCTGAAAATAGCACAGTTTTTCCATTTTTCTGTTGGTGGACAACTGAATTGATTCCAAAGTTTTGCTTTTACAGATAGTGCTATTATGAACATTATTATACTTGTCTTCTGATACACATACACTAAAATTTATTTTGGGCATATACACCCAGGCATTGGATTCAACTTCACAACATAGTGGATGTGCTTGCTATCTAACGTTGACTTCAGAGACAAAAATCTAACATGGCTGCACTGGGACTTCTGTGGGTTACAGAATCCTAGACTGCACAGGCCATAAACCCAACCCAGTGTAACAATTCATCTCCCCCCACCCAAACTCCCCAGGCTAGAGGGGCAGAAGGAGACAAGTAAAAGCCCCTCCCCCCATTCTTTCAGCTCTGTTCTTGCCTTACCCCAGATGATGGGAGATCCTTTTCTTGAGGCTTCCAAGTAGTTGACTAGACTGGGTCCCCCAGGGCAAAGTCTGGAGATTTTGCTGATGTCAGACACGACACTCATCTTGTAAGGTCCAGCTTAATTTCTATCTCCTTCTAGGTATCGTCCCTTATCCTGGCCCAATTCAATTCAACTAACAGAATTTTAGCGCTTAACTATATCTCATTAAGCTAGACACCAAAGAATCAATGTGTCACAAAGAGGTCAAGGAGCTCTCAAAGAGCTCACTCTCCGAAAGAAGTAAGGTTAAAAAAAAAATCAGATGCAGTGCAATGATAAAGGTGCACATAGACACACGGATGAGGAGTGCAGAGCTGACACGTATCTCAGTCAGCTGTATCCATGACTTCCTTCCTGGATCTCTGATAGCTTTTCTTATCTGCACAGGAATTCTTTATTCAGCATGAGAGTTTGCATTCATGACAATGGTACCGTTTGCTGAAATCAACCCCACGTGAAATGGTTCTAACATAGTATATTCAGCATGGTCCTCCGGCAATTGAGCTTCCATGTTTTCAAATCCACCAAAGTCATGAAATACCTTTGGTCATCATTTCTTGCAACTCCCATTCACACAACTGTGAGTTGATCCTCTTAGGCTGCAAAGACGTTTATCAGCCTTGCCAGTTCCCAAATGCCTCCTGATCCTTCCCCCTGAAGGTGTTAGGAACCACCATAAAACGTGCATTTTGGAGAGTGCTAGGAACCACCATAAAACTCATATTTTAATATCCAGCATGATTCTATTCCTTTGTTTCCTTGTGGCATGTCTGGAGTGATCACACGCACATTTTTGTAAGTCATTGTGGGTCAGTATTGCACAGAATAAATGGCACAAAGAAAGAATAAGGTGGATAACATCATACCACATGATTTAGGATAACATGGTAGAATGCTCATTGACTGAGGTCATTCTAAAATGGTGTGCAAACCCATTGACCAAAGGTTACTGTAGAGTCTGTCAACCTATCTTTCATTGGCTGTGATGGTACAATAGAGTCCAAATGTAGAAAAAAGCATCATTATGGTACCAAAATAAACTCAAATATGTCTTTAAAAAATATTTCAGAGACAAGCATATTAAAACCAATAATTGCTGTTTTGGCAATGTTATGCTTGATCATGTATTTCTGAGTTTAGTAGAATCCTGTGGGAAATTTTTACACACCCTCCTATTATTGCTTTATGGAAAAGCATATTACTGCTCCTCTATCCCAAAGTCTAAACCCTCTGTAGACAGAGACACTATCTAATCAGTATACTTAACATAGCACAAATTTTGATAGGTAATAGAAGCCAACAAAATACCAGCATGTAATTAATATTTGCTGAATGATGCTGGAGGGGGCGGCAAGTAGAAGCAGCAAGGGACCACCCCAGAGTCTATTACCTAGCTTCCACAGGGCTGAAGTTTCTTTTTTTTTTTTTCAAAGATTTTATTTATTTACTTGACAGAGAGAGATCACAAGTAGACAGAGAGGCAGGCAGAGAGAGAGAGAGAGAGGGAAGCAGGCTCCCTGCTGAGCAGAGAGCCCGACACGGGGCTCGATCCCAGGACCCTGAGATCATGACCTGAGCCAAAGGCAGTGGCTTAACCCACTGAGCCACCCAGGCGCCCCCACAAGGCTGAAGTTTCTTAATCTCAGCACTACTGACCACTTTGGGCAAGATAATCTTCTGCTGTGGGGGCTGTCCATAGTGTTATTTGACGGTTAGCAGCAACTTTGGCTTCTACTCACTAGATGTCAATTGCACTACTCCCACAACGTGAAGACCAAACATGTCTCTAGACATTGCTAAATGTCCCCTTTGATGGGGGTGGGGGATTGCCTCCAATTGAAACCGCTGCATTAAATCCATCTCACTGATTTTCTTTCAGTCACCAGATTCTGGTCTGGGCAAAGGAAGGTAACTCCTGGTCTACAGAGATCAGAACTTATGAGCGAATATACAATTATGGCTAAATTCTGAGGATCACTCTGTGCACATTTATTTATACTCACCTATCTCTGTTACTCTAACAAAATACTAGGCAATTTGTAAGACTATTTATGTGTGTGTAAAGGACAGAAAGAGGAAAAGTAGAAAAAGTTGAATTTATTGGGAGTAGTTGAGCAACACTGAAAGTGAATCATTTACTCATATTTGGCAGAACCCTTTGTGGTCTCAAGCTTCAGGAAGGCAGATAAGTTCCTCAGTTCTGTGACCAGGTGACCAAGGAGAGCTCTCATATCCTGCATTTGTTTGAGAAGAATGCCCATCTGGTGATACAGATGGGGATCTGGCACCTGCGCAGGAGCAGAGAAGCCTGGATCCTTCGAAGGGGTGGACAGTGGAGGCTGAGGTCCAGGGGAGCCTGCTGGAGTAGGTTCTGGAACAGCTGATTTCTGAGGAGCTGGATTCAAGGTGGGGGGTGCAGTCAAGCTGGAGGGACCTGCATTTTGAGGTAAGAGGCACATATTATCAGAGTGAAGTCTGACTCTGGCCCTAACCTCATATTCGTGGTCAATCTTTCTTGTTTTCTGAAAGTGGCTGAAGACTCCCTCGTGGTCAAAATTTGAATCTGAAGCTTGGCTACCTCAGTTTGAAAATCTTTAGTGACGAGGCTTCATCATTATAGGGCTATAGATATTAGCCAATTCTTTCTATCAAGGCAGAACCTAATTCTGGACAGTGTGGTAATTGGTTCTAGGTCAACATCTTCACTGTATACGACATTAGTATAATTCCTCGTCTTTGTGCCAGCCTTCAGTGTTTTGAGGACACCTTCACTGGCCCCTTGGGTTACCTCTTCTTCAAGATGAGTATCTTCTGCTCCCTCCATTATTTTTCTTATGACATGGCTTCAAGCCCCTCATTGCCCTAGTTACCACCTCCTCTGGATATATATTTCAGGTCAAGTGCAGCCTTTTTAATTGGGGGTCCCTGAACTGAACATAAACTCCAGACTACCTCATCTTCATTCTAGATACTATATTTCTATGGATTCCCAGAGTTCATGTAGGGAGCAGAAGGTCTATGGGGCAGCAGCTGTGGAGCTGGCTCAGGTCTTGGTTTGGTGAGTTGTGCACCGTGGTCTAAGAAAGAAGTTCCCTATCTGTGTTCTCTTCCATCCCCAGGGACTCTGGCTTATTGTTCCTGGCTCCTCTGTGTCCTTCTTAACCTACTTATACCAAACCCCAGCTCATGGGTTCAATCTTTTCCATCACTTTTCATACACATCTGACAAACACGCACTAACTTACCCTGCACCCGGATCTCCAGCTTGGAGCTCTGTTTCCAAACCTGGTTGTCCTCAGTGGCTGCCTCACACCAGTAGGACCCAGAGTGTGCCTCTGAAGCTGTGGGGATCTGTAGTTCTGGGGAGAGGCCTCTGTCACGCACTATCCTGTTGTCCTTATAGAAGGAGTAGAAGAGGCGGGCGGTTGACCTCTGCAGGGGCAGTTTTGTCTGACAGCTCAGGGTCACCGGGTCTCCCTCTTGAGGCTCAGCTGAGGGGGTGGCTCTGAGAAGTGGGACTGGAAATAGTTCTGAGGGAGAGAGAGGTGAGAAAAAAGAGTTCAGCCATCATACATTCAGGTGGACCCATGCCAGGCAAAGAACCCAGCCACAGTTTCTTCCCACTATTTTCATCAGTAATAAACACTCTTAGCAAAGCAGGATCTGAGCCTTTCAAATCTTCTCTCTCTTCAACTAAACAAGATTAGGAAAGACCCAGAGATGGACAAATCTGACAATAGTCCAGACACCCCATCAGTGAACACTGGGAAGCATGGATCTGTAGGATAGAGCTGTGGGAAGCACACTGGGCTTGGAGAGGGCTGAATGACTTGAGAACATAATACGGAGATGCTGTCCCTCCTGAAACCCAACTTGGGCATTTGCCAACAACCTGTTCCTTAGCCTTCAGTGATCTTGCCACCTCCAGTGACAGACAGTCTTGGTCCCTCTGTGTCTCTCCACCTGCCCTTGCCATAATGACATTCCCTTCAGCTCTCACCTTGGACCTTGATGGCCACAGGAGATGCTGTTTCTGGGCTCCCAGGACCAGGGCTTCTGAAGATGCCACTGCAGTGATAGTGCCCACTGTCGGCCTCTCGTACCACGGCAATGGAGAGTTCCCTCTTGGGTCCAGGAGGACCCATTGCTGAGCCATCTCGGTAGAAGGTCACTTGGGTCAATGGCCAGTCTTGCCAGGCCTGGCAGCGTAGAATCAGTGGGTCTCCCTCAAATATAGGGCTGACAGGACCTTGGAGGATAAGCCAGTCTGTGGCTCAAAGCAAGAGTTGAGTGTGACCCACTGCCTTCCTTAGGAGTTCCCCGTGGTACCCACATAGACTTCTCCCTAAGCTTTCTCTGAGAGTCCAGGTAATTCTTGTCCCTAGCTGGGAAAGCAGAACAACTTCTTTAAGGACTAAGACTGAGGGAACCCTGGCTTTTGTGGGCTGAATATGGCGAAGAAGGCACAGTAGTCCCCCCTCATCCACAGTTTTGTTTTTTATGGTCAACTGCAGTCCAGAAGCAAATGATCCTCCTTCTGATATATCATCAGAAGATCAATAGTAGCCTAACACTACATCACAAGGCCTAGTCATTCCCCTCCCTTGCCTTATCAAGTAGGCATTTTATCATCTCACATCATCACAAGATAGGTAAGTATTAGTACAGTAAGGTATTTTGAGAGAGGGAGAGACCATTCTTATAACTTTTACCATAGTACATTGTTATAACTATTCTATTATTAGGTATTGTTTCTAATCCCTTACTGTGCCTAATTTATATTTTATCATAGGTATGTATGTATAGAAAGAACAGTATATTTAGGCTTTGGTACTCTCTGCAGTTTCAGGCATCCACTGGGGGTTTCGGAACATATCCTCCATGGATAAGGAGCAGGAGGAGCTACTGTATCTCATCCCATGGCCAGTTTCTGAGGGGCAACTTCCTGAGTGGGTTGGCGGGCTAAACAGGCAGGCTTGGGAAATGGGAGAAAGAGAAGGTCTGTACTTCCCGAGATCTCACCGTAAGACACAATCAGATGGAAGGGTTTACTGAAAGTGTAGCCCTTGACCTGGAAGTCAACTTCCCTTGGGGCTGTGAAGTCCTCCTGGGAATCGCAGCTGCTGTCCTGGGTCCTGACTGGTCCTTCACATTGCAGCATCTCAAAGCCGGCAGCTGAGGAGGGCATGGTTTGAGAATCAGAAAACAATGTTGTGACTTGGAGGAAGAAGACTTCCCTCCACAAGGGACTCTCCAGGGGAATCATCCTTTTTAGAATGAAAAGGAGAAGATGCCAAAACCCATATGGGTCTCTTGACCCAGTACTTTTAACTTGATTCACTGGCTTTCCAGGGTTTTCAGTGAATGGACTGTGGTATGAGGAAGAGGGCAGGGAAAGAATGGCAGAACGTGAACTCACCAGCATGACATCCAGCTGCTGGCACAGGAAAACAGAGGCCAAAGGCAACGATGACCCCAGAGCAGGCAGACACAGGACACAAGGGAAAGGCAGATGATCAGATTTTAACACTTACTGGGAAGTGTTTAATGTACGCCACACACCACGAGACACTTGAACACATGATTTTACTTAGTCTTGACAAGTTTTCTAGGTATGTGATTTCATGCTCCATTTTATAAAGTTAAGAGAAACAGGCTTAGAATAGTTCAATAACTTACCCAAAATTTCAAAAGGAGTAGGGAATGGAGCAAGAAAGAAAGGTTGTCTGAGTCCAAAATCAGTGTTCTCTTCACTTCACTGTTTAGACTTGATCAGCTGTAGGTCTCAGACCTTCCTAGGGGATTTCCTTCCAGATTTTCATTCTCTCAAAATTCCCTTGGCTCTTCATCCATGAATATATTATCTACCAATGAGTTTTCAGGACCTAGTGGTGTCTCCTCTTCCCTTGCTCCCTCCTTTCAGGTCTTCATTTTTCAGCTATCTCTACCTTGATGCCCACTGTCCCCTAAACTTTCCATGGCAGCTGTAGAGCCCTTCCAGTGTCCTTCTCTGCTCCAAACCTCTATTTCCAGTCTGTACTGGTAACTGTGGAACAATTCTTTCTTTGCTTCCAGGTTGAAACTCAGAGTTTATTCCTCACTGCTTCTCCTCCATCTATCTCTTTGCTCCATGGTTGACTCAAGCAAGGTAATTTCCATTCTTCCCATTTTCATTCCTGCTTCTTGTCCCTTAATCCCTCTCCCCTTCTTCCAGCCCCATAACCATTCCCATACACTCAATCCTTCACTCCATTCTTTCCTGACCCACTTGCCTTTATTCCACTCCTGAAAGCCCAAAACTCTTCTTCAACCCTGTAACTTCCCCTAGCAAGGTCCTTTTCCACTTCCTAATTCTCACTGCATCAGTACAAGGTGTTTTCTTTAGATCCTGCTTCAACTCCCCTCGCCACCCCGCTGCTACCTTTTTCAGTTCCTCTGCTATCATTCAACTAGACTCAGCCTCCACTCCGTTTTGAAAATGAACTTGTGGGTTGCCAGGCACTTTCACTCAGTAAATTATGTGGTAGGTATTAGGCTCATTTTATGAATAAGAAAATGGAATTAGAGGGGCACCTGGGTGGCTCAGTTGGTGAAGCATCTGCCTTCAGCTCAGGTCATGATCCCAGGGCTCTGGGAGTGAGACCTGCATCAGGCTCTCTGCTCAGTGGGGAGTCTGCTTCTCCCTCTCCTGCTACCCCTCCCCAATCCCAGCTTGTGCTCACTCACTCTCTCTCTCAAATAAATAAAATCTTTTTTAAAAAATAAAATGGAATTAGAGATACAAAAAGTGAATTTTCCAAGGTGACATAGAGCTAGTTAATAGAAGAAGAACACCATGAAACCAGAACGTCTGGAGTTCTTGCCATGATATCAGTCCTGTGTCTTCATACAGTCACCCAGTCCTGTTTCTACTTCAGTAAAAGGATTCAACAATTTTTTTTTTTTTTTTTGGTCAGGGAAAAAGCAGATGCTAAAAATTCAAACATAAATTTGACAAGGTTAAAAAACAAAAGCAAAAACAAAAAGTGCTGTCCCTGTCTACAAATAACTCAGTTTAGTGGACAGCAAGGTCATATGAGGAGATGATTTCATGAGGAGGAAGGTAATAACAAAGACATGCAACAGGCAGCCCCTGGGGCAGAAAGAAGGGTTCAAAGAAGCTTCCCTGGAAGATGGCACCCATGCTGAATCTTCAGGGGATGCCTAAAAGTTTGTGAGTGAGAGGGAATGGGGCCATGGAAAGAGTTCATTTCAAGCAGAGGTAGGAGTTTGAGCGCAGCTTGGAGATAGGGAAGAACGTGGTGTGTGAGTGGATAAGTACGAGCTGGTTGGGGTTTATTACAGCATAATATGCAGGCCTCCAGGATAACAGCAGAGGCTGCAGGGTTAAATAGGAACCAGGCGATGGTGGGCCTCGTGTGCATTGGCTGCAGAGCGCAGAATCCATTTCAAGGGAACAAGCCTGAGACATGGAGGTTAGTCAGGAAGTTACTGGACTATCCAAAGTCCACAATGATGAGGGCTTTTCCTAGCATCCTATTAGTTCTGTCTCTGAGAACAGTTTAGAAGATACACTTTGCCAAACTTGCCGATTGATCATATGCAGAGGATGAAGAGGGAGGAGTCTAGGTGTTCTCCCAAGTTTTTAGCCTCCATGCCTGGGTGGGTGTTATGAACTGAGACAGACACAGTGAAAGATGAAATTAGGGAGAGGTAGGGGCCAAGAGGACAGCTCTGGTAATATTGGACTGAGATACCTGTGAAACATGCAGATAGATATGTCTTGTGCAAAGTTGGATCTTTGTGAAACTCAAAAGCACGATTAGGGCTGGTGATATGACTTTGGACTCTTAAGTAGATAGCTGAAGTGGTAAAAATGATACAGATAAATGAACTCACTAAGGAGATTGTGTAAAGAGTGTAGGGTAGGGAGGCAGAAATGCAGCAGTAGAAAACACCAGCCTATAAGGGGAAGAGAATAGAAGCCACCAAAGAGACAAAGACAGGTACATGGAGTGCAAGGAGAAAATGGCATGTGGACAAAGACTCGTACATGGAATGCAAGGAGAAAATGGCATGTGGAAGTCAGGCAAGCAGAGAATGCTGAGAAAGAATAAGTGACCAACACTGCCCAATGCAGCAGAGAAGTCCAGCAGCAGAAGAGCTAAAGGGTGGGCAGTGGCGCGGTCAATATGGAAGTCATTGCACCCAAGGCAAAACTTTCCAGTGGAAGCCAGACTGGGAGCACTGAGGTATGAGTGAGAAGTGAGGAAGTGCAGAAAGCAAGTGCAAACTACTCTTTCAAGAAATTTGAGAAAAGGAAGGAAAAAGGTTGAGATGGTAGCTCAATAGGGTATCACAGTCAAGGACACTTTAAGAATGGAAAAGGCTTGAAGATTTTTATATTCAGAAAGAGCCATTCAATCCAGCACACCAGACTTTCTAATACCTATCCTTCATTTCCCACCTGCACATTGCTTTTCTGGGCCAAAGTCAGTCCACATATCTTTCCATTGATCAAAGTCAGGCATATCTCCAGTCCCACACCAATGTTCAAACATATCACTTACCCAGTAGCATCTGTACTGCCCAGAGCACGGTAGGAGAAAAGTAAAGGACCCCAGCTGTGAGGACACAGCCCAGCTTCATGGTGACTCTGTTTAGGTCTTCTGCAGCCTCTAACACACTGACTTTCATCAACATGAAACCTCTCAAATTAGAAAAGAGGAAGTAATCTAACTGTCTCATCTCCTTGCATCTGGGGCCTATTTTCAACTTCGTGATTGGCTTTCACCAGTCAGATTTGGCTAGGTTGGCCCCAGCATCATCTACACCCTTAGGGTTGTGGATGAAGTATCAGCACTCTCAGTTGTTCGAGAACTCCCCCACAGAGTTCAGAGAACTTCCCAAGCACAAAATTGTCTGATATCCTTCTGGACTTCATGACACCCTGGGAAGGGCCAGTACAACAACCCTTCATTTCACTGGTGAACCAGCTGGGGACAAGAAGGAGGAAACTGCTTGAAGGCAACACGGAAATTCACTGGGAGAGCAACGATGAGAATTCACATCCTGCCCTATCTTGCTCCAAGGCTTCTATGTTTCTAGTGACCAGACCGTCAGAGGGGGAAGTAGGTTGGTAATGGCACCCGATCAGATATCAGATTAGTCCCTTGGGTGCTCCAACCATCCAAAGCCCACAAAAATTTGTACGCAAATTTCTCTATTCTCATGTCTCAGCTCTCTGTTTCTGCAGCAAGATTAAGGCTATTCAGCCTCAGAGGAAATCTGAGTATGAGGCAGGGAGAGTCCCCTGGGAAAGAGGAGAGGAAAGAAGAAAAATGACTTCCAGTGGACACAGCAGTAAGCCCAGGGCTCAGGCTCAGGGCCAAAGCTTGAGCAGCTGATCCTGGGGAAATTAGAGACAGGAGGCATCTGATAGCTGGAGAAACCTAAGGATACTCAGGAATACGGATGATATGGAGGCTATAGCATCTCTCTGTGGCTCCAGGTGGCCTTATGGGGACTGTTGCCCTTGCCTCTGAATGTTTGCTGTTGGATCGAGTCCTCCTTAATGGCAAGGCTTATACCTCTTGCCCCAGGAATGACACTCCTTAACCCTCCCCATCACAATACTCTCCATGAGATGAAACAAGTCATCAGAAATGGGAGAAATGCAGTCCTGCTTGAAGGCAGAGGGAGGGCCAGCATGACCCTTCAACTGTGCAAAAACCACAGATCAGAGCAGACATATTAGCAAAATGAGCATGAGAGAACGGATATTTCTCTATCTAAAATAAGTCTTAGAATAAATTTTCCATTATCAGAGAGGCATATATTTTTGTGCAGGTGGCCCCAGGGAATCCATCGGGGGTTGAATATGGGCGTGGGGAGAGTCAGTGAGGCAGTAAGCCTTGCAGCTGACGTGATGTGAAAGACCCAGCAGCCTCAGAAGAGGAAGAAAATTCTTGGCCAGACCTGACCAAAATTAAGAAAACGAAATGTGTTTATATGGACCTCCACTCCTAATACTCCCTAGAACAGAGTCTCAAGGTTAGATAGGTCTTCGAGGGGCTTCTAAACCAACCACAAAAAATCTTTCCCTTCTCACGCCACCCACACTATCATACCTGCATTGAAACCCTCTTCCATACCACCTGCATCAACTCACAACATCTCAATATGAGAAGCAAAAAAGCCTCTGAAGACATGGGGTGAAGCTACATATTCTTTACACTTAAATTCCTACTAAGGCTCTGGGAAATTTTACTCACTTGAAGCCTGATCAATGAACTATTTAGAGTAGGAGAAAAAGGCAACCTTGGGTCTTGCTATGTGCTTATGAAGACTGAAATCCAGTTCACTGAGTCAGCTCTGCCATCAAGATCATCCCAGAATTCTCATGGGGAGATGGGACAAATCCTTGATTTGACCCTATCCCAACACCATGGGTTAATGGCTGTTACCATTCCTAGCTGCACCTGGCTTGTTACTAGTGGGCTGATGCTTATTTTTCCTTTGTTTTTAATTGAGTAAAGATACTCATAAAAATCTGATTTATGATACTCATAAAAATCATACCTCAGTGCTCCCAGTCTGGCTTCCACTGGAAGGTTTAAAGAATAATGGTGCAATACGCAGTTTTGTACCCTCACCCAGTTGAAGAAATAGAGTGATACCATTATCCTGGATATACAGTGTGGGTCCCTTCTGATGACATTCTCCTTCCTTGTGATAATCATTCACAACCCTGGTCTTGTGTTTATTGCCCCCATTATTTTATAGTTGCAAAATTTAGTACTTTTGAACTTTTAATAAATAGAATCATATTATATTTATTGTTCTGAGACTTGCTTTCTTCTTTTTTCTTGTGAATTTCTTTTATTAGCCTTTTGCTTGGTCCTTAATTCCTTATCTGCCATCCTTCAGGTTAGGGGTGTGTGTGTGTGTGTGTGTGTGTGTGTGTGTGTGTGTAGGACATTTAAATACAATTTTTTAAGAGTAGTTTTTTCTTTTAAGAATAGTTTTAGATTTTAGATTTACAGTTAAGAGTAGTTTTAGATTCAATTTAAATTGAGGGGAAGGTGTAGACAGTGCCCATGTACCCCTTACCCCTACACACCCACAACCTCTGTCATTGCCAACATTCTCCCAAGAGTGGTACATTTGTTACAGTTGGTGAACCTACACGGACACATTATCATCACTCAATATCCATAGCTTACATTTGGGTTTATTCTTGGTGGTTACACTCTAGACAAATGTATAGTGATAAATACCCATTATTATAGTATCATGTGGGGTATTTTCACTGCCTTAACCACTCTGTGCTCTGATATTCATCCTAAATCCTAGTAACCACCAGTCTTTTTACTGTCTCTATAATTTTGCCTTTTCCAGAATGTCACAGAGTTGGAATTATACAGTGTGTAACTTTTTCAGATTCACTAGCTTCACTTGGCAATGTGTGTTTGGGTTTCCTCCATGTCCTTTTCTGGCTTGATGGCTCATATGTATATATTTTTTAGCCCTAAATAAAATAAATAAAACCACTATGGATATTATATACCAGCTGTTGCATACACAATGGCTTATTTATTTATTTATAGGGAGATATAATTGACATATAACATTATATTAGTTTCAGGTGTACAACGTCATTATTCAGTATTTATATGTCGCAGAATGACTACCACAACTCTAATTAACATCCCTCACCACACATAGTTACGAATTTTTTTCTTGTTTTGAGGACTTTTAAGATCTACTCTCTTATCAGTTTTCAAATACACAATCCAGCAATATTATCTTGAGTCACCACGCTGTAGTTATTACCCCAGGACTTACCAGCTTTCATTTTTACTGAGCAAACAACAGTAGACTGGCTGCCTCCAGAAGTGTAGGTGTGCGCTTCACTTTTTTATTTTTATTTTTAAGTTATTTCTGTAAGTATGTATTATGTGTGGATTGCTATAATTTTTATTGTCATAAAATACACATAACAATTGACACATTAACCATTTTTAAGTGTCCAGCTCAGAGGTATTAAATACATTCGTAATACTGTGCCACCATGGCCACCACCCATCCCCATCACTCCTTCATCTGTGAAACTGAAGCTCTGTCCCTGTTGAACAATAACTCCTCATCTTTCTCAGCAGAAGTTCATCCACTGTTCTACCTTATATCTCTATAATTTTGACTAAGTACCTAAGATAACTGAATCAAAGTATTTGGCTGTTTTGTAACTGGCTTAGTTCACTTATTATAACATCTTTAAGATGCATCCATGTTGAAGCCTATGTCAGAATTTCCTTTCTTTTTGGGGTGCCTGGGTATGTCAGTCAGTTAAGCATCTGCCTTCAGCTCAGGTCATAAGCCCGGTGACCTGGGACTGAGCCCCACATCAAGCCTTGCATTGAGCTCCTTGCTCAGCGGGGAGACTGCCTCTACCTCTGCCTGCCTCTCTGCCTGCTTGTGCTCTCGTTCTCTCTCTCTGCCTCTCTGACAAATAAATAAACTCTTTTAAAAATTTTTTAAAAGAATTTTATTCCTTTTTAAGTGTAAATAATAAATATTCTACTATATATGTATATACACATATATATGTGACATGTATATATATGTGTGTGTATGTATATACATACACACACATACCACATTTTGCTTATCCATTGATGGACAGTTGGGCGGCTTCCACAATTCAGCTATTGTGAATAATGCTGCTAATAAGTACATGGGTGCACAATATCTCATTGAGACCCCTCTTTCAATTCTTTGAGGTATATCCTCACAAGTGGAATTTCTGGATCATATAATACTATTTTTAATTTTCTGAGGAACCACCATTCATCTTCCACAGCAGCTGTATATTCCTGCCAGCAGTGCACAAGTGTTCCAATCAAGTGCTCAGAAATACTTGGCATTTTCTGTTTTTTTGTGGGTTTTTTTTTTTCTGCTAGTAGCCATCCTAATGGGTATAAGGCAGTATCTCCTTATAGTTCTGATTTGCATTTCCCTAATGATTAGTGATCTTGAGCATCTTTTTATGTGCTTATTGGCCATTTGTTTATCTTCTTTAGAAAAATGTCTATTCAAATTCTTTGCCCATTTTAAAACTTGATTTTTTTGTTGTTGTTGAGTTTTAGGAGTTCTCTTTATGTTCCGGACATGAACTCCTTAGCAGATTTATGATCTGCAAATGTTCTCACTCATTCTGTGGATTGTCTTTTTGTGATGTGGACATTGTCTTTTTTTTTTTTTTTTAAGATTTTTATGTATTTATTTAACAGACAGAGATCACAAGTAGGCAGAGAGAGGTGGGGGGAAGCAGGCTCCCCGCTGAGCAGAGAGCCCGATGCAGGGCTCCATCCCAGGACCCTGAGATCATGACCTGAGCTGAGGGCAGAGGTCCCAACCCACTGAGCCACCCAGGCACCCTGGACATTGTCTTTTGACGCACAAAATGTTTAAGTTTTTATAAAGTCCAATTTGTCTATTTTTCTTTTGTTGCCTGTACCTTTGATGTCATATCCAAGAAATCAATGCTAAATTCAATGCCATGAAACTTCTGCCATATGTTTTTTTCCTAAGGGTTTTTTCGTTTTAAGTCTAGTATGTTTAACTCTTTAAGAAACTGTCATGCTGTTTTTTTAAAGTTGTTCAACCATTTTACAAACCCACTCACAGTGTAGGAGAGTTTCAGTTG